GATCCCCAGGTTGTGCCAGTCAGCTTTTGTATGATATTGTTTCTAGCACCCACTTTTTGCTTTAAACATCCTGATGGTGGTGGTGGTGGGGATGGGGGTGTGGGGTTGACGGTGGAACAAAATTTCCTGGACCCTCCTCATTTTGAAGATATTTTAAAAAGTAGGAGTTGAATGGTCATGTTTTGAGGATGCTGTTTTGCTGGACTTAATTAACAGAGAATTGAAGCAGATGAGCTTTTATGTCCCTTTCAGCTTGGCAATTCTGTTCTACAAGATGGGTCTAAAAACTCCCTTTTAATACAATCGGTTAAAGCACTGAGCTGATGAACTTGCAGACCAAAAAGTCGCAGGTTCAAATCTGGGGAGCAGCATGAGCTCCCGCTATTAGCCCCAGCGTCTGCCAACCTAGCAGTTCGAAAACATGCAAATTTGAGTAGATCAATACTCATTGCTTTGGCGGGAAAGTAACGGCGCTCCATGCAGTCATGCTGGCCACATGACCTTGGAGGTGTCTACAGACAACGCTGGCTCTTTGGCTTAGAAATGGAGAGTTGGACATGACTGGACTTAATATCAGGTGAAAACATTTGTTGTTGTTGTTCATTCGTTCAGTCGTCTCCGACTCTTCGTGACCTCATGGACCAGCCCAGCCAGAGCTCCCTGTCGGCCGTCACCACACCCAGCTCCTTCAAGGTCAGTCCAGTCACTTCAAGGATGCCATCCATCCATCTTGCCCTTGGTCGGCCCCTCTTCCTTTTGCCTTCCACTTTCCCCAGCATCATTGTCTTCTCTAGGCTTTGCTGTCTCCTCATGATGTGGCCAAAGTACTTCAACTTTGTCTCCAGTATCCTTCCCTCCAATGAGCAGTCGGGCTTTACTTCCTGGAGGATGGACTGGTTGGATCTTCTCGCAGTCCAAGGCACTCTCAGCACTTTCCTCCAACACCACAGTTCGGCCTTCCCTAAGGTCCAGCTCTCACATCCGTAGGTTACTACAGGGAAGACCATGGCTTGGACTAGGCAATGGATCTTGGTTGCCAGTCTGATGTCACTACTCTTGACTATTTTATCAAGATTGGTCCTTGCTCTCCTCCCAAGAAGGAAGTGTCTTCTGATGTCCTGGCCACAGTCTGCATCTGCACTCATCTTCCCACCTAGAAATACAAAGTCTGTCACGGCCTCCATGGTTTCTCCCTCTATTTCCCAGTTGTCAGTCATTCTTGTTGCTATAATCTTGGTTTTTTTGATGTTTAGCTGCAACCCGGCTTTTGCGCTTTCTTCTTTCACCTTGATTAGAAGGCTCCTCAGCTCCTCCTCGCTTTCGGCCATCAGAGTGGTGTCATCTGCATATCTGAGGTTGTTAATGTTTCTTCCAGCAATTTTCACCCCAGCTTCGCATTCATCAAGCCCCGCACATCGCATGATGTGTTCTGCATACAAGTTAAAAAGGTAGGGTGAGAGTATGCAGCCTTGCCGTACGCCTTTCCCAATCTTGAACCAGTCTGTTGTTCCGTGGTCAGTTCTGACTGTTGCTACTTGGTCCTTGTACAGATTCCTCAGGAGAGAGACAAGGTGATTTGGTATGCCCATACCACCAAGAACTTGCCACAATTTATTATGATCCACACAGTCAAAGGCTTTAGAATAGTCAATGAAGCAGAAGTAGATGTTTTTCTGAAACTCCCTGCCTTTCTCCATTATCCAGCGGATATTGGCAATCTGGTCTTTCGTTCCTCTGCCTTTTCTAAACCCAGCTTGAACATCTGGCAACTCTCGCTCCATGTATTGCTGGAGTCTTCCTTGCAGGATCTTGAGCATTACCTTACTGGCATGAGAAATAAGGGCCACTGTACGGAAGTTGGAGCAGGCTTTCGCATTTCCCTTTTTTGGTATGGGGATATAAGTTGATTTTTTCCAGTCTGATGGCCATTCTTGTGTTTTCCATATTTGCTGGCATATGGCATGCATCACCTTGACAGCATCATCTTTTAAGATTTTAAACAGTTCAGCTGGGATCCCGTCGTCTCCTGCTCTTGTTGTTAGCAATGCTTCTTAAGGCCCATTCAACCTCACTCCTCAGGATGTATGGTTCTAATTCATTCACCACACCGTCAAAACTATCCTCAATATTATTATCCTTCCTATTCAGATCTTCTGTATAGTCTCGCCACCTTCTCTTGATCTCTTCAGCTTCTGTTAGGTCCCTGCCATCTTGTTTCTTATCATACCAATTTTTGCCTGAAATTTACCTCCAATGTTTCTAATTTTCTGGAAGAGGTCTCTTGTCCTTCCTATTCTGTTGTCTTCTTCCACTTCCATTCTGCATTGCTTGTTTAAAAATAGTTCCTTATCTCTTCTGGCTAACCTCTGGAATTGCGCATTTAACTGGGCATATCTCCCCTTTTCAGTTTCCTTTTGCTTTCCTCCTTTCTTGGGCTACTTCCAGTGTCTCAGCAGACAACCATTTTGCCTTCTTGGTTTTCTTTTTCTTTGGTCCGTACTTTGTTGCCGCCTCCTGAACAATGTCTCCGACTTCTGTCCATAGTTCTTCTGGGACTCTGTTTACTAAATCTAGTCCTTCAAATCTGTTCTTCACTTCCACTGTATATTCGCTAGGAATGTTAGTGAGATCATATCTAACTGGTCTGTGTATTTTCCCTGATCTCTTTAGTTTTATTCTAAATTGAGCAATAAGAAGTTCGTGATCTGAGCTACAGTCAGCCCCAGGTCTTGTTTTCACCGACTGGATGGATGTCCGCCACCTTTGGCTGCAAAGGATGTAGTCAATCTGATTTCGGTGCTGACCATCTGGTGAAGTCCATGTATAAAGCCGTCTTTTAGGTTGTTGGAAGAGAGTGTTTGTTATACACAGCGAGTTTTCCTGGCAAAACTCTATCAGCCTGCGTCCCGCTTCATTTTGTTCTCCCAGACCATGCTTGCCTGTGATCCCAGTTGTCATTTGACTTCCCACCTTGGCACCTTGGTGAAAACATTTACCTTTACTTAAATACATAAGTCTACATAGGTGCATTAACTCATTTACATCTACTTAACCTACTTCAGCCATGATTTCCTTGATCTTACTCATTGCCTCTGATCCCACCCTACTTCACTGTAGAACCATCAGATCTGAGATGCTCTTCAGATACACTCACATTAGAAAAGACACTCGCCAAAACACCTCAGCAAGCGAGAGTCTGTTTGTTTAAAATGCAATACAACTGTTTGGCTTGCTCCTGACACGATAAATAAATAACTGGTCTAAATCAAGGGAAGTCATGGTGCCCCTCTCTTTTCTACTTTGGTCAGACCTCACCTGGAATACTGTGTCCAATTCTGGGTACCACAATTCAAGAGGGATATTAACAAGCTGGAAGGTGTCCACAGGAGGGCAATTAGAATGATCAATGGTTTGGAGACCATAAATCCCTATGAGGAATGGCTTAAAGAGCTGGGTATGTTTAGCCCACAGAAGGGTAGATTGAGAGGAGACATGATTTCCATGCTTAAATATTTGAAAGGATGTCATAACGGAGAGAGAGCAGGCTTGTTTTCAGTGGTTCACGCTCTTGTTACATCCTGAATAGATTACTGCAACGCACTCTACGTGGGGTTGCCTTTGGGGACTGTTCGGAAACTTCAATTAGTCCAATGGGCGGCGGCCAGATTACTCATCGGAGCATCATACAGGGAACATACCACCCCTCTGTTATGTCAGCTCCATTGGCTGCCGATCCAGTTCCGAGCACAATTCAAAGTGCTGATTTTGACCTACAAAACCCTATACGGCTCCGGCCCAGTGTGCCTGTCCGAACGCATCTCCTTCTATATCCCGCCTCAGAGTTTAAGATCTTCTGGGGAGGCCCTGCTCTCGGCCCCACCTCTATCACAAGTGAGGTTGGTGGGGATGAGGAGCAGGGCCTTCTCAGTGGTGGCCCCTCACCTGTGGCATTCGCTTCCCAGGGAAATTAGGTCATCGACATCCCTCCTCTCTTTTAGAAGGAAACTAAAAACATGGATATGGGACCAGGCCTTTGGGTAATCTGGCAGACAGACAAAGGACAGTGACGACTAGAATTGGATAGGATTATGACAATGCGGAATGAATTTACGGATTTTGAGCTTGGCGAACGTTGATCACTAGATTGGTTTTTATTAGTTGTACTGTATAACTGGATTGTTTTAACTGTTTTATAATTGTTGCTGCTATGTATTTTATCTTACTATGTGTATTGCTGGCATCGAATCGTGCCTTTTGTAAGTCACCCTGAGTCCCCCTTCGGGGGTTGAGAAGGGCGGGGTAGAAATACTCGAAATAAATAAATAAATAAATAAATAGTTTTCTGCTACCATGGAGACTAGGACCCAGAGCAATGGATTCAAATTCCAGGAAAGGAGATTCCACCTGAACATTAGGAAGAACTTCCTGACTACAAGCCATTCAACAGTGCCTCGGTGGGTGGGAGAACCTTCCTTGGAGGCTTTTCAACAGAGGCTGATGGGCATATGTACTTTGATTATGCTTCTCTTACATGGCAAGGGGTTAGACTGGTTTCCAACTCTATGATTGTATGATATGCTCAGAAAACAATAATCTCAGCAGGATCATTTTAGGTTCCTGGAAGAGTTCTAGATTGATCAGAGAGAGCTAAGAAACCTGGGGCGGGGGGAGGTTTCCACAGCACCTTCTTGACATGCTAGCTTGAGATCTCTGAATGAAAGGGGGGGGGGGAGAGCTTGTATTGAGATGTATTATCGAAGGCTTTCATGGCCGGAATCACTGAGTTGTTGTAGGTTTTTTTCGGGCTGTATGGCCATGGCAGTGAGGTCTACCTCTGAGGATGCTTGTCATAGATGCAGGCGAAACGTCAGGAGAGAATGCCTCTAGACCATGGCCATTCAGCCCGAAAAAACCTACAACAACCCTTGTATTGAGATCTTTAAGAATCACATTTTTCCCCTATGATATAGCAACAAATGCTTGTGGTTACATTATTTCAGGAGCTGAACAGCACGTGTTTGATGTGTCTGTTTGGCCGGAAAACCCTGTGGTGGCACGTGGAGGGTCTCTCTGGCTGAATTGCAGCACCAGCTGCCGGGAGGCAGATGCCAAGGGAGACTTGGAGACATCGCTGATCAAGGAGAGGGGAGACAATGGGACCGGCTGGGCAGCTTTCCAGCTTGTGAATATCACAGAGTGGGTGTCTGCCGCGGAGTGCTCCTTCAGCTGCTACGGAGAACATAAATCTGTGCCTGCAAACATCGTGGTGTATCGTAAGTGGCGGCGGAGCAAAGCTTTGTCATTTTTTGTTGCACTTCCATCTTTCCTTTTCTCTAAAGGCTTCACTTCCTATGTGATATCCCATATAGATTTGAGCCTAGCCCAGATCAACTTGGCCAGCTAGAACATAAGAGGGTAGGGAAAGTAGAGACAAGACAGAGCTACTTCTGGTCAGTCAAAAGGCCAAACAGGGGTTAGGGTTACAGCCTGTGTTAGATGACATTACACTCCACCTGAAGACACAGGTTTGCAGTTTAGGAGTGATCCTGGACTCATCGCTGAGCCTGGAATCCAAGTCTCGGTGGGAGAGCTTTTGCACAATTAAAACTTGTGAGCCAACTGTTCCCGTTCCTTGAGACTTCTGGCTTGGCCACAGTGGTCCACACCCTTGTTACATCCCGTATAGACTACTGCAACGCACTCTACGTAGGTATGCCTTTGAAGACTACCTGGAAGCTTCAACTAGTCCAACGATCAGCAGCCAGGTTGCTCACTGGAGCGACGTACAGGAAACATAATAATAATAATAATAATAATAATAATAATAATAATAATAATAATAATAATAATTTATTTATACCCCGCTACCATCTCCCCAGGGGGCTCAGTGCGGCTTACATGAGGCCGAGCCCAGAATACAACAATACAAGCAATAACAACAACAATACAAGCAACTAAAATCAACAAGACAGTAAAACAATAACAAGCATTAACAATAGGACAACACACTTTAAGATCTATGGGTAGGCCAAATGTAATTAAAATTTAAAAATAATGCTGGACATGGGCGAAAAAGTGATGGGGCGTTAATAATAATAATAATAATAATAATAATAATAATAATAATAATAATAATATGATTTGAACCCATCCCTTCCTGGGGATGTCAATATTCGATTATTTTGTTGTTGCTTTTAAAAATCATGCTGGGTGATATGATGACATGTTTCCCAATAATGTTTAGCTTTCCTAGGAACCTTTTTCAGCATATTTTTCATTTGTGCATTTTTGGTTTTATTTTATTTTGCATTTTGTGCATATGCAACTTACCTTTGTTTAGAAATGTGGTTTGGTCATAAACTAAAATTTCACAAAGAACTCCCCAAATTCAAAATAGAAAAAAAAAAATGAATGAGGTAGATAACCTTCCCAAATGCATCTAGGCATGTTAAAACACAATTTCTTGCAGGATGAGACTATTTGTGAAGATGCTTTGTCTCCCTTTTTCTTGGTATGCATGGTAATTTCTATAGTTGCCATGACTTTCATATGCACATCTGTTTCCATCTACCTTTTCAGGGATTCCACAGCAGGTTGTTTGGGATCCAGTGCCAATGATGGAGGTTGGTAGAGTCTATAACCTTACGTGCCGAGTTGCTGATGCCGCCCCACTTCGCAACCTCACTGTGACCCTGCTCAAAGGGAAGAAGAAACTACACATGGAGACCTTTGAGGATAATACTGCTCCTGAAGCCAGGGACATTGTGGTGACCCACTCTATAACTGCTCAAGAGAAGGACCACCATGTAGAAGTCAGTTGCCACGCAACTCTGGATCTGAGGCCTGAAGGTCCACTCTTTGAGAAGTCTTCTCTGAGCAAGGTCTTAGAAGTTTATGGTGAGTGGCCAACCTGTTATCATGTCCTTCAACTCTACCTGTTCCTAAAAATCAAGGTTGAAAAATAGTATTGCAGAAAGTTATTCATAACCTACAGTTGCAGATCTGTAAGAGGTCAGTATTCACTAATCCTACAGCATACCTTTACAACCTTAAAAGCCACCCACTGGTTTAAGCAAAGGAGATGCATTCAGCTTTCAGTCAAGGTACAAAGAGGGTGATGCCTCCACTCCTCTGTGTGTGTGTGTAAACATCCTCTCCCTTGATCCTAATTGGAAGTTGAAAAGACCTCCTCTATCTGATCTGGCTGCTGGATCTTAAGGTGGGCTAGGAAGGTGAGCAAGAGGAAGTGTTATTTAAGTCTCTGTAAGTAAGTAGCCAATGAAGAATTCCAGCCAAGCCTTCTGGACACAAACAGCTGGAAAATAACAGTATAAAAAGGACAAAAATAGATCAAAGGCTGAAAAATGAATGAACAGAAGTCTTTATCAGAGGCGGCCCTAGGTAGTTTTCAACTGTAAGCAAACAGTATTTTGGCCCCCCCCCCCCCAAACAATCACTGATATATATTTTCTGTTCGTCGTGGGAGTTCTGTGTGCCATATTTGGTTCAATTCCATCATTGGTGGAGTTCAGAATGCTCTTTGATTGTAGGTGAACTATACATCCCAGTAACTACAACTCGCATATGTCAAGGTCTATTTTCACCCAAGAGCGCCTCAAGAGCGCCCCTGGGCAAAATCAACTATACTGCAAATGCTTACTTTGCGTGATGGGTTGAGCCGCAGCCTTGTCTTTATTAAAAGAGAGACTGACATCAAGAGCTCTGGCTTCAGATTCAGGCCTACCTTCTGCCCATCCTCTGTATTCAAACACATTATAAGAGGGATGGAAGACTTTCAAGATCCACTTTGCCTTTTCATGGAAAATTAAGATCTATCTACTAGAGTAAGTGTGGGGAAAGTGCTGGCCTGCCCAGATGTTGCTGGATTATAGCTCCCATCACTCTTCTTAGAGAGATATTGACAAGCTGGAATGTGTCCAGAGGAGAGCGACTAAAATGATCAAGGGTCTGGAGAACAAGCCCTATGAGGAGCGGCTTAAGGAGCTGGGCATGTTTAGCCTGAAGAAGAGAAGGCTGAGAGGAGATGTGATAACCATGTATAAATATGTGAGAGGAAGTCTAGGGAGGAGGGAGCAAGCTTGTTTTCTGCTTCCTTGGAGACTAGGACGAGAAACAATGGCTTCAAACTACAAGAGAGGAGATTCCATCTGAACATGAGGAAGAACTTTCTGACTGTGAGAGCTGTTCAGCAGTGGAACTCTCTGCCCCGGAGTGTGGTGGAGGCTCCTTCTTTGGAAGCTTTTAAACAGAGGCTGGATGGCCATCTGTCAGGGGTGATTTGAATGCAATATTCCTGCTTCTTGGCAGAGGGTTGGACTGGATGGCCCATGAGGTCTCTTCCAACTCTTTGATTCTATGATTCTATGATTCATAATTGGTTATGATGACTGCAGACTTTTTAAACAGAGGGCCAGGACACAGTCCCTCAAACTGTTGGAGGGCCAGATTATAATTTGAAAAAAAATATGAATTCCTATGAACACTACATATATATGTTATTTGTAGTGCAAAAAAACACTTAATACAATAATTAAAATGAAGAACAATTTTGACAAATATAAACTTATTAGTATTTCAATGGGAAATGTGGGCCTGCTTTTGGCTGATGAGATAGGATTGTTGTTGTTGTGTGCTTTCAAGTCATTTCAGACTTAGGTTGACCCTGAGTGAGGGCTGGGTAAATGACGTTGGAGAGCCATATCTGGCCCTCGGGCCTTAGTTTGAGGACTAGAGCACTTTAAATCCATTTTCTGCCTCCTGCAAAATTCTGGTGTTTGTAATTTAGTGAGGCCCAGGTCCTGTCTGGCTAAGCAGTTTGAACTACACTACAAACCCCAAAATTCTGCAGGATGCAGAGACCAGATTTAAAGTGGATCCATGCTCTAGCGCAGTGGTTCTCAACCTGTGGGTCCCCAGATGTTTTGGTCTTCAACTACTAGAAACCCTAACAGCTGGTAAACTGGCTGGGCTTTCTGGGAGTTGTAGGCCAAAACACCTGGGGACACACAGGTTGAGAACCACTGCTCTAGTGTGATGAGACCCTTCGAATTAAAGACTTCTAAGTGCAGAAATTCATGTTGAGTTCAAAAATGAAGAAAGTTTGCTGTTCTTTCATACAGAATTGCACTCTTTCATTACTCTCAAGGTTTCTTCATCTCAGTTACATCATTTGGGAGGAAAGAGATGCATTTTGTTCCTGATAATGTTGAACTATTTTATTGACTATTCTAAAGCCTTTGACTGTGTTGATCATAATAAATTGTGGCAAGTTCTTGGTGGTATGAGCATACCAAGTCACCTTGTCTGTCTCCTGAGGAATCTGTATGACAGTGGTTCTGAACCTGGGGTCCCCAGATGTTTTTGGCCTACAGCTCCCGGAAATCGCAGCCAGTTTACCAGCTGCTAGGATTTCTGGGAGTTGAAGTCCAAAAACATCTGGGGACCCCAGGCTGAGAACCACTGCTGTATGAGGACCAAGTAGCAACAGTAAGAACTGACCATGGAACAACAGAGTGGTTCAAGATTGGGGAAGGCGTACGGCAGGGTTGTATACTCTCACCCAATCTATTCAACTTGTATGCAGAACACATCATGCAATGTGTGGGGTTTGATGAATCCAAGGCTGGGGTTAAAATTGCTGGAAGAAACATTCACAACCTTAGATATGCAGATGATACCACTTTGATGGCCGAAAGCGAGGAGGCGCTGAAGAGTCTTCTAATCAAGGTGAAAGAAGAAAGCGCAAAAGCTGGGTTGCAGCTAAACATAAAAAAAAACAAGATTATGGCAACAAGAATGATTGACAACTGGGAAATAGAGGGAGAAAACGTGGAGGCACGTGACAGACTTTGTATTTCTAGGTGCAAAGATTACTGCAGATGCAGACTGCAGCCAGAAAGATGCTTACTTCTTGGGAGGAGAGCAATGACCAATCTCGATAAAATAGTGAAGAGTAGAGACATCACACTGGCAACAAAGATCCGCATAGTTAAAGCAATGGTATTCCCTAGTAACCTACGGATGTGAGAGCTGGACCTTAGGGAAGGGTGAGCGAAGGAAGATAGATGCTTTTGAACTGTGGTGTTGGAGGAAAGTTCTGAGAGTGCCTTGGACTGCGAGAAGATCCAACCAGTCCATCCTCCAGGAAATAAAGCCCGACTGCTCACTGGAGGGAAGGATAGTAGAGGCCAAGAGGAAGTACTTTGGCCACATCATGAGAAGAAAGGAAAGCTTAGAGAAGACAATGATGCTGGGGAAAATGGAAGGAAAAAGGAAGAGGGGCTGACCAAGGGCAAGATGGATGGATGGCATCCTTGAAGTGGATTGACCTTGAAGGAGTTGGTGGTGGTGACGGCCGACAGGGAGCTCTGGCATGGGCTGGTCTATGAAGTCACGAAGAGTCGGAAACGACTGAACGAATGAACAACGAAATGTTGAACAGTTCCAAGGAAGAATCACTCAAATAACTAACTTCATATTCTAATCCAGCTGTTCCCCACTATTATGTCAGAACATGTATTTAGGATTTCAGGAAAGTGCCTTAAGATGAGTTAGAAGCCATGGGCCCAACTTTAACTTGAAGCAAGAGCATTGCAGGGTTTCAGACAGGATTCCTTCTCAGCTCTTTCTTGGAGATGCATGGTATTTGCTTGTGGACTCCCATCTAATTGGTAGAAAACAATATCATACGAAAGCTGACTGGCACAACCTGGGGATCACAACCAGATACAGTGAAGACATCTGCCATTGCGCTGTGCTACTCTGCTGCTGAGTATGCATGCCCAGTGTGGAACACATCTCACCACACTAAAACAGTGGATGTGGCTCTTAAAGAGACATGCCGCATTATCACGGGGTGTCTGCGCCCTACACCACTGGAGAAATTACACTGCTTAGCTGGTATTGCACCACCTGACATCCGCCGGGAAGTAGCAGCCAATAGTGAAAGGACCAAGGCAGAGACATCTCCAGCTCATCCCTGTTTGGGTATCAGCCAGCACATCAACGACTTAAATCCAGACATAGTTTTCTAAGATCTACAGAGACACTCGCTGGAACACCTCAGCAAGCGAGAGTCCAAAAGTGGCAGGCTCAAACCCAGAACCTCAACCAATGGCTGATACCAAATGAGAAACTCCCCCCTGGGCACACAGAGGACTGGGCGACTTGGAAGGCGCTGAACAGACTGCGCTCTGGCACCACGAGATGCAGAGCCAACCTTCAGAAATGGGGCTACAAAGTGGAATCCTCGACATGCGAGTGTGGAGAGAAGCAAACCACTGACCACCTGCTGCAATGTAGCCTGAGCCCTGCCACATGCACAATGGAGGACCTCCTTGCAGCAACACCAGAAGCACTCCAAGTGGCCAGATACTGGTCAAAGGACTTTTAATCAACTACCAAACTCACACATTTTGTATTTTTTCTGTTTGTTTGCTTTGTTCTGTTAGAAATGTAATATAATTGACTGGCTGCCCTGACATGAGAAATAAATAAACATGTCCTCTCATCCTTCTCTTAGTATTCAAATTTGGGCATATCAGGTGTTGTTGTTGTTAATTCGTTCAGTCGTCTCCGACTCTTCGTGACCTCATGGACCAGCCCACGCCAGAGCTCCCTGTCGGCCGTTACCACCCCCAGCTCCCTCAAGGTCAGTCCAGTCACTTCAAGGATGCCATCCATCCATCTTGCCCTTGGTCGGCCCCTCTTCCTTTTGCCTTCCACTTTCCCCAGCATAATTGTCTTCTCTAGGCTTTCCTGTCTCCTCATGATGTGACTAGGTAGTGCTACTGAATGCAGAACCGTTAAGGATCCATAACTCCAGGTTACAAATGTGTAACTACAATACAAAATGACAAGCATTATCTTTAGTTATA